TTCCACAGTAAAAAGCGGGAGTTTTGCTTAAATTTTTAGCTATTCCCACAGCCCACGGCTCCCCTGACCGCCTCCTTTCTTCCCCTAGTTTATCCTGTCAATCGATACTAACTTTCCCCCGAAAAGTTCTCTTAAAGATTGTCCCCTCTGCGATCAGTTTCTTATTGAAGCCAGTTAACCCACCAAATTAATTTTCGGTATGATTTTGTTTGTCTTTTCCAGGTGCATGCAGATATGCGGCGCAGAGCACTGGGTGAGGATGATTTGAGGGATCTTGATGAAAATCAGGACGTACCTCAACCTCCCCCCGCAAAAAAAGCCCGTGTGGATCCGTATGCAGCCCTACGGACTAAAAAGAAACCTGTGGCCGTAAAAGATGAGGTCACAAAGTATTTAGCAATGGATCCCGAAGAAATCGGCGATGACAGTGATCTTCTTAAGTGGTGGCAGACCAAGGTGGGTAGTTGAACTGTAGAAGCAGAGCAAATTCTTCAGTCGCCTTGAAAATATTTATATAAAAAATTTCTTTTGTAGATTTTTTGTACGAAACTATTTTGGTTTGCAGCGTTAACGAGAATGTGCTAACTTTTCTCTGGCTAGCAATTAAATGTACATGTAATATTTCGCGCATATGCCAAAAATAGTACATATACATTTGTTTGGTTTTTGTAAAGTTTTAAAAAGTTCGTAACATGGTGATGGTGCGAACCTTTTAAACTTCGTGAAAGAGGCGCGACCTCCATTCATCAGTATCAGACGGATGCTTCGTTGAGATACAACGCGATGCGGATGCGTTAGGGCTCGTGTCCGTACCGGCACTTAACGCTTTGCTCTGTCAAAACTTCACAGGATATCCCATACTGTTTGTATTCGTCTTACGTTCTCGAGTAGTGTTTATTCTCTTAGAGAAATATCGCAAATTTCCAATATATTTTGTAATTAATTACTTACAAAATATGTTGTAAACTTACGACCGCCTATTCTTACTCGCCGATTAATTCCGAGTCGGTACGTAATGCTTTGTAATTTCACGATTTTAAATTGTTATTTTACAAAGCACTTCATGGAAAATTCTCTCGTAAAATCTGCAACTATTTTCCCAGTGTTCATAGTCACTGAAAATCCAAGTGATGTCGCAAATCTGCAAATGAGCGATAAAATTCACACATCTGCATGTGTATGACAGAATTTTCACATGCCTGCAGAGGTGTGAATATTTTATCGCACACCTGCAGTTGGGTGAATAGTTCGTCGCACACCTACAAGCGTGTGAATGTTTTCATTCATTGCAGGTGTGCGACATTCGTCAACTTGGATTTCCAGTGTGAAAGAGCGCCAGCGTTACAAATCTCTCTATTTTTGATTATGGGCCATTTCAGGGGACAGTGCTCTTCCCAAAGATGGCTAAGGTGGCCATGGATATCTTGGCTATTCCAGCCTCCAGTGCTCCGTGTGAGACCATATGGAGCGATGCTGGCCGCATCGATACCGATGACCGCAGTAGCATGTCGATGGACACACTGCAGGACCATCTTGTTTTGAGGCACCATCTCCGGTCAAAGAGACTTGCGAAGGAAACCTAGTTAGTTCAGTATGTTGATAAGTAAAATGTCAATTACCTTAAAAAAATAAACAGTTTTCTTTTTTTCTTCATACTTTTAAAATTTATTGATTGTACGTGTATCTGTTCCCTTTTCTTCTACGCAACATGACACAACAACTTATTTTCAAAAATTTAAACCTACACACGCAAACGCCCGCCCTGTGCTATAGGGAGCGAGATGAGGGTGGGGGCAGGGAGCCTTCTAGTGGAGACGGTATTGGGGACTGTCTAAAAACGCCACTTAAACTCTACGCCACACGCAAGTCGCAAATAGTGATAGCGTCCGTCGGACCACGGACCACGCGCTGACACACATGGGGGAACGGGTACCGACTGTAAGGGGGCGGGGGCGGGGTGCGATGGCACCTGCATGCATGCCGGACGATGCAGGGGCTGCGAAAATCTTTCGCAACCCACCTAATTTCAGTATCGCCCCCACTCCTTTCCACAGTGCAACTTTATCCCACAGAAATGAGTAAGAACCGACCTCCCACCGTGCGTACCCCCCCCCCCCCCCCCCCGGGCCCCCCCCCCCCCCCCCCACGTGAGCGAGAGCAAGCGAGCGGCAGCATCGCATCTGCCGTCTGCCTGCTGCTTGCTGCAGCTCCGTCCGCTCGCCCGCCGTCCCTCAGCCGGCCGGCCGCGCGCCGCGCCGCTCAGAGCCAGAGCTAAACGAGCCCTAAACGAGCCTTGCTTGCCCGGCAGATGCCCCCTTACCAGGCGAGCGGCGCGGCGCTCCGCTCGTCACGAAACGAGCCGAGCGGAGCGGAGCCTTTCTCATGAGGTGGCGCGGCGTAGCAACGAGCCTTGACGCTCGCCCGCTGCAGGGCTCTGCCGCCTAGCGCAGCTTGCTATACGTTCTCTTTAATATTTCTTAATCGAGAGTTAAAGCAATGACACCTTACATTACTCATGCACTGTAAAAAAAATCCATCTTAATTTTAAGAACACGTGTTTGGAAGCAATTTACAAAACAAATTTGCTCTTACATTTAAGAACAAATGTTTTATGAAAATTAAGAACATGTTTTGAAAATTAAGAACGTGTTATGAGACGACAAAAATGCTTTACTTTTCCAGCCTAACGCAAATCTGGAAGATATTTAGTTTTCTTTCCTACGGACAGATGTTCAAACCCAACTTTGTACACATTGTAGTTGTTTACCTTACGTTACCTGGGTGGATTCGAACCTCGGACCTTTGGGTTCGGATCCTGACGCCTTAGACCGCGCGGCTGTCGGGACATACCTGTGGAGGGAACGCTCGCAGCCGACCTTATGCGGCGCTCCGTCCAGGAGCATTCCCAGAGTAGCTATGTGCTCGGTCGGACGGCGTATGTTTGTTAACTTGCTTTTTAGACATTTGGCTCTGTCATAGCTACATTTCGCATCTAAATTCGATGTTGTTCATCCAATTCTATATTGAACGCCAAAATTCTATGTCAAGTGATCAAAAGCTGCATGACTTTTAAGAAGTGTTCTGAATGCTAGTATTAAAAGTAAGAATGGATCTGACTTTTTAAAACAATTTTCTCAACACTAAGGAAATCTTTGAAATTTAATAAACTTGTTATAAAATTTAATTACCACTATCAGAATTTTCATAACCTGGTTTGCAAAATTAAGAAAAGTTCTTAAATATCATAAAATGTTATTACGTTTAAGAACAACTGAAACTGTTATTAAATTTAAGAGACATTTTGGTCTTAAATTTCAGAATATTTTTTACAGTGTGTATAGTTATGTTTATATATATTTAGGTGTAAGGTTGTAAGGTATCATCTGCTAAAAAACAAACAATAAAGGGTGTTTACTACTAATAAAAGTTTTGTTTAAAGGGAGGTAATTATTTACTTGAGGACCTCAAACAGTCTTTTGTTTGATTGATTGATAACCACTCTGGAGCAAGAGCCCTAGTCCAAATCCGATATTATCCCTTCGCCCGCATCACTGTAAAAAATTTCAGGAACAATTTTACCCTTCATCGGGTCATAACGGCCAGATGTTCCAATTGGATATTTAATTTTCAATATACGTGGGTAAAGAAATTCACCCTCTCATCTTGATGGTAAAATTGTCTACCCAAGTGGTGAAAAATTGTCTACTCAAGTGGTGTAGATTTGTCCTTGCTGTTAGTGATTGTGTCTTTACCAACCCACGAGAGTAAAGTTGCCTCTACTGACGGCAAGTACTGCAATCACCCACCCAGAAGGGTGAAAACAACCCCACTGATGGGTTACACTAGAACCATCCACCAGCAAAGGTAAAAATGTTCCGGATGTTGGGGAAGTTTACCGGGTGTGGTGGGGTTCCGTGGACACCCCCATACGCGTAATAGCCCCTCATGTAAGCATATAAGGTAAGATTTTTAAACGGTTGTGTTTACCGGTATACCGGATGTGCCGGCTATAAAGACCTGCCCTGCCAGTTGGGTTGCCTATGGCTCGGCCTATGCTGGGGTGCCAGCGGGAGAGTGGTGGGGAGCTTCCACTCCCCTACCACCCGCCCCGCGCCTGCAACCAGGATATAGGCAACCCAACGTACAGTCATGTCTTAGTCGTGTCGTCTATTAAGCTGATGGTAGATTTGAACACATCAGTTAAATAGAGTGCACCTTACTTAACGCGTACCCTGCCTCCACCAAGTACCGAGTGGGCCGCAATCCGGCACTTCAGGATCGCTGAAGAGAAGGCTCCCGTGAGAAAACTGAATGTAGAGACATCAATCGCACCATGCCTATGGAATGAAAGTAAGTAATAAAGGATCTTTGACTATATTTTGTTATTTAAACTTAGCAGTAGTCTATCACAGTTGGGTTTTTCACAGCTGGTCGACTACCGGAGGGGCTCACAAGCGCAACCGATCGCAAGCGCAATGGCTCGCAAGCGCAACGGGTCACAACCGCAACTGTAACATTGTGCTACTTTAATGTGGCACACCAACACCGGGCGAGCGAATTGTTTAGCGAACGCGAAACTGGTACTCGCTTCTGACGCTCCCCGCGACAAACAACGCGCACCGCCAAGCCGCCCCCACCAACACCAGGCCGAGGCTTCTTAGGGGTGCGCACTTGTCGCGAGCGTCAGACGTGGTCCGGGAGAGTTCGCGGTGGCAGCGCTGCACGACCGGGCAGGGTACTTAGGTTAAGCATTCCAAGAGGTAAGGGAGAGAGCCATACTAAGTGTAAGAGACTGTGTCTTAACTCAACAATCTGAACCACCCTTTTGCGAAACTTCTATTAAACTTCACAGTCTCTCACGACTTCCCCTATTTATTTATTTACTAACGAGCTCCTTGTGGGATTTCCCTTTAAATGCAATTCCATACTTTTCTCATACCTAACACAACGGGCCACAACCACAACGGGTCCCAAGCGCAACGGGTCACAAGCGCAACCGCGGGAAGCCGCCTGTTAGACGGCATCGACTATAGACGAAGCCAGGAGCGGAGCGCGCAGCGAGCCTCTGGATGAGAAATCAAACGAGCCTTTGGTCGCTGTCGCTGTGCACTTCTCGTGTAGAATGTGATACCTCTCAGACACTTTCTTGCTTGCTCTCGTTTGCACTTGCGTCGAAATGTACGGCAGAGGTCTGCATCGGTCGGTCCACCAGTCCCGGGAGCGCACGAAAAGCAACATGTGCGAGTGAGGTGGAGCTGCGGCCCGCTCGGGCATCTCACTTGCACCCGTCGCTCTCGGACGCTCCCGGGACTGTTGGACCGACCGCTGTAGACCTCTGATGTACGGTGAGTGCACCGCGGGCGACGCCGCCGCCGGACACCACTCTCACCGAAGTTTCCCGACTTCCAGCTCACTTCAACACCATTAATAATTATTTATTTACCGCAAGAGTAATCGCTGCCGCGCCAACGCGGGCGCAGTGCGTGTGTCAAAACGTTTGAAAGTGTCTGAGAGGTATCACATTCTACACGAGAAGCGCACAGCGACAGCGACCAAAGGCTCGGTTGATTTCTCATCCAGAGGCTCGCTGCGCGCTCCGCTCCCGCTCCTGGCTTCGTCTATAGTCGATGCCGTCTAACAGGCGGCTCCCCGCGGTTGCGCTTGTGACCCGTTGCGCTTGCGACCCGTTGCGGTTGTGGCCCGTTGCGGTTGTGACCCGTTGCGCTTGTGACCCAGTTGCGCTTGTGACCCAGTTGCGCTGGCGAGCCGTTGCGCTGGCGAGCCGTTGCGCTTGCGAGCCGTTGCGCTTGCGACCCGTTGCGGTTGCGATCGGTTGCGCTTGTGAGCTACGTCGTTTAACTACTAGTCTAGACATGAGATCAAGTTTTAAAATCAAATCAAATTAAGACACGAGCCTAATGTAAACATATACAATCTAACATAGTGGAAAGATTGGGCGGTTAAAAATTTACCAGCTTTGTTAAAACTCTGAAGAGTGTTAAACATTCAATAAAAAGATACAAGCAATATGGATAAAATACATATAGAAAGTAATGACGAGAGCCATCAAAGGTTCCTAAGGCTATTCTTCCTAAAGAGAAGTAATATTTTAACTTGATATCTGCGGTATTTTAGGGATTCCTGTTGCGTCTTCGGACCGCCAGCTTATACTAAATAACTTATTTAGTTATCTAGATAAGTTAAAAACTGGCCTGCCGGCCGGTAACGAGACAGTCCGGCTCCAAAAGCAAATTCAAAATATACAGGCGCTAAGGCTTGTATTTTTAAATTCAATAAGGCATCAAAATAAGACTAAAAATCTTCTTATCAAAACCGGAACGTTAATCGGCAATACCCGACAACGGCAACCTTTATTGTAACGGGATAACTTTCACCGTACCCAGGAGCGCTTTTTCATGTTACGGAAAGCTGTGGTTAATAATCAAAACGAAAATCAGCAAATTATGCTAGAATTACCATTCAAATTTTGCTGGATTCGTAATTTCTGCGCGCGCGAAAACAAGCAAATTTCATATATCAGAGCGCTGTGGTTCAAATTTAAAATTTGAGGCTGGGGATCACTTGTCAAGTGGACGGGCCATGTGGCGCCCGGTGCCGATTGAGCTCTAAGTGGGTAGGGGCTGGGGCGCGGGGCGCGAGGCGCAACGCAGCTTGCCTCAAGAGGCTTGAGTAGGGGTCGGCTGGCCCACCATGGCCCGGCACGAAGCAAGGGATGAGGGCGCTATGTTTATAACACAACCAGGGCGATGACAAGGGACTGCCACCGGGCTTGGCATGGACAACCGCGCGGAAGGAAAGCCTTCCAACCGCGCGGAAGGAAAGCCTTCCCCCACAGCCTAATATTATAGCAAGACGAATCTTTATCAACGCCAATCGGCTTATCAAAACTGGAACGGGAACGTCAATCGGCTATCTTTATCAAAACTGGATAACGAAAACCGGCAGTATTTATCAAAACGGGAAACTTTTACCTTCGGGTAGAGACAGACCACAAGGGACTGTCTAAAAAGCCAAGCAGCTGTGCGGAGACGGTGGCCCGCCCTTAGCGGTGCAGGCAGAGTTCTCAAACGGGTGGGTCCCCCGCACGCCAGGCGTGCGAGAGAGCGCGCACTACGAGCCGAGCCGATAGGTGACGCAGCCGGCTCGGCTCAGTGGGGGCAATGCAACTTTGAGCCTAAATTTCCAGCTAAATATGCGAAATAGAGGTGATTGGACGCACCGCTACGACAAAACTGGATAATGACAATAATCTGCAAAAAAAAACATTTCAAAATTGTTTTCCAGTTTTTGTTTTCTTTTGAAAAATGCACCGTGAGCAGAAGAAATTCTTCTTTACTTTGTAGTTTCTAATAAATTTTGAATAAAATTTCAGTTTTAATTTTATGAAGCAAAACGCATTTGTTCTAAAGAGCACACACTATGAGCAAATCTTTGATTCTACACTGAATAAGGAAGATACCGCGGTTAAAGCGGTTGATCCCCCACTTGCACCTTCCGCACGGTGCGGCGGGTAGCCCATACCCGCTCGACCCACCCACCCCACACTGTTAAAATTTTTTGTTGAGATTTTACAGAAAAAGTCTGGGTATACCAGTTGCCATGTAAAAGTCTGGTAAAATTACAGGGGTCTGTAAAATTACAGACACTGGTAAAACTAACTCCACAAAATTTCTGTAAAACTGATACCAAACGTTTCTGTAGTTATGTTTACGAACGTTTTCTGTAATTTTTACCCACATTCCTCTGACGTAATAATGCAAGAAAAAAAATATTTTCGGCGGCTGGTTTCTTGTTCTATATATTTCATAGTCAACCGCCTTCGGGTTTCATTGGTGAAACTTCTTTTACCGCTTGTACCCTCAGGTGGGATCGAACCCCCGACCTCTTGGTCGTGAGCCCGATGCCTTGCCCATTGCGCTACGGCGCGCGACGTGGAGGGAGCCCGTCCGTACTCCATCTGTTGCTTCCGACTGTCCACGCGGCTTTCCATACGGTTAACTGCCCTCTTGGTTAGTGATTATCACAACATTGGGTTTCTTTCGTGGTTCCGTTGTTAGAATGCACCAGAGTTCAACATTGAGCAAATTTTGTGGCCAATTTTAACCGTATTTCTTATATGTTCGAAAAATTACAGAAAGTATCTGAAAGACTACTTTACAGAGTCTGTAACTTTACCAATACCTGTAATAATACCAGAGTACGAGTGGATTTTTACAGACGCGTGTAAATTTACAGTAGTTTTTCGTGAAAAATACCGAAAATCTGTAATTTTACTGGTACTGTAATTTTACCATAGTATTTCGGTAAAACTAACGTGTTCGGTAAAATTACATTTTATTTCTGTACAAGATTTCAGGAATTATCGGTAAAATCACTAATATTTTTAACAGTGCACCCGCAGTGGTGGGTCCAAAAGCAGCTGCAAGACCCACCCGTTTGAGAACTCTGGGTGCAGGGCTGCATTAACTTAAGGGAGTGCGGTCGGGAACAATGCAATAAACCGAACAGGAAATCCCGATTTCACCCAATTGTCACTCTAATTTTTACATTATGCTCCATGGTTTTTATTATTAAATAAGTTCACTAATGCAAGGGAGCGTGGCGGCTCGCTTCAAGACGGGACTTCCCTGCGGGAAGGTTTTCTTTTCGAAACCGTTACCGCTTGCCACAATACAACATTGTGAATGACATTTATATTTCGCTAACAAATGGTGGGTTGCGTGTCTTTGAACAAGACATGCACTCGTGCTGCCTTCCCCGAACACCGACTGTCCACCGAGATACTCTGCACCTCGAGCTCGCTAGGGCAAGGGGTATTCCCTCATTGAGATGAGATACTCGGCGGGCGGACCGAGTGCTATTCGGCGAGCGGCTGTCGTGCGCACATCTTCCAGACTCCGTCAAGATATCTAATCTAACTTATTTACTTATCTAGATATCTAAATAAGTTATTTAGATAAGTTGGCGGTCCGAAGACGCGAAGAGAATCTCCAAAATACCGCACATATCAAGTTGAAATAACTTCTTCCTAGGAAGAATAGCCTTAGAAACTCCGTGACTCAGAGCACATTAAAATTATAATCAAAGATAGAAGTATGAAGTATACTAGGTAGATGTACGCCAGACCACGTCTCGCGTAACAGGCTTCGCGATATCTCACGAAACACTGTTACGCTGCGACGCGCCTGGCATACATCTACCTAGGCCTGCGGCGCTGACACCCGAGTCGGGTAGTGCAAAAATGTACACAAAGATACGGGCCTCCGGCCCGTCAACGGCCCGTCACTTTGACTAAGCATGCAGGGTTGTACATTTTTTCGCTTATTTTCGTCAAAAACACCCTCTAGCGCCTCAACGGTTAAAGATAAAGCCAAACGGATGAAATTTTTGCCCAAAGGGCTCTACTTTGATGAGTTACCCCTTAGAAAACTGTAAAAAAAAATATTAAAAAAAAAACATTATTTGTAGGACCTGTGGTTTTTGATTTTTTAAAAATTCAATTTTTGAGCTAGAATGCTCATCTTCGATCTTGATCTGTCTTTTTATGATACAAAACGACCCTGAAAATCCCAGGTCGCTGGCTCAATTCGTTCTCGAGTTATCGTGATGACAGACAGACAGACAGACAGACAAACAGACAGACAGACGCGAAACTTTTTGATCATCACTGGAGTAATAGGCTTCGCTAATCGCTCAGCCAACAAAAAAATATAGTAATATAATGATCATCACATTGCTACATAATGTATGAAAACTAACTTATTACTAGATTAAATTGTGAAGTTGTCATGTATGTTAAAGAGATGAATTTAAGTTAACCTGTTACAGTTAGAAATTTACCACTTTGTAGTACTGAAGTTTACTTAGAAAGAAAGAGAAAGAAAAAGTTAACAGTATACAGAAACAACAATCGCTCAAATTTTTAGATTCTAAGATTTGAGAGCACATTCAAACTAGAAAATCTAGAGCATACAGTAAGAATACAAAATAGGTAAGAAAGAAAATGATAGCAACATCACTTAATGAGCCATTGTTTAAGAATGACCATAACAATGGACCTAGATATAGCAAGAGAAGCAAAAAAGAGATCATGTACAGTATAAATGCAATATATATGAGGTAGAACGAGCAATCAAATCACTCATCCCACGTGTTCATATAGTCATCAAAGTCACGCATAAGGCCTTCATATTTCTGTAAGATGCCCTTAGGATTTGCCTCCCAATGTCCTTGGGCATTTTTCCTGCATTCTATGCGTGAACAATTGGGGTCTCCTTGAATTTCAAAAATAACTCTGTAATAAGAAATAGAAATGGATAAAACTGTTTTAATCTGCATGTGATGAGTATCAATTAAGTAACTTGACATGAACAAACGTTTGAATAAATTCAAGTAAAATCCTCATTTTTTTAAGATACGTAATTTTGAAAACAAAATAGCACAGAAAAACCGAGAAAGTGCTAATAATACAGTTGTCAACCCATTACAAAACATTTCGGTGTATCAAGAAGATCATCATCTGGAAACATAAATTAACAAAATGAACATTATTGTTTTTTTAACTTAAGTAGCTAAAACTTGCTGAAAGAAACACAGTCATCACCTAGAACAGCAATAATTGGCCTTCCATCTTTAGACAACTTGTTGGAGGCTTGCACTTCATCATAACTGGTTGTTTCCTGAGCAAAAGACACATTTCCAAGTTGAGTAACTACGAGAAGTAAATGATATAAAGTATATGATAAAAAATATGGGTTGAAACATACACAGAAATAAATGAAAAGATGTTTCAGATCTTGATCAAGTTTAAGAGCAACACAAAGAATTAGTGTTGAAAACTCCGTGTCACCAGTCTAAGCAGCCTTCTTAAATTGAGCAAGGTATTTTTTCATTTTTGCAGCAACTTCTTTGGCGTGTCCATCCCTCCTTGGTTTCAGCACATCAACCTCCAAGTATTTGAGGAAATCAGAGACAAATTTACCCAGCCTTTTCTCAAGATTATCAGGAGGTAAGTTCATTAGCGTGTAGAAATGATCTTTCAATATCATAAACTGTGTAAACAAAAGTGTGATTAGTTTGTACTGTGAAACAAGAGATAATTTGTAAGAACTTAAAATCAAAAATGAAAACTTTAACACACTTTTTTGATAATAGTTTCATCTCTAGTTCTGAAGCCAAAAGAATTAAACCCACTGTTCAGAATCCAGATTAGAATTACACTTCAGCCCTCCGGCCCTCCAGTTGATAATATTAGTAAAGTTTGCAATAGACATCAACATAATACCGACTTACCAAACACTTCAGTTACAATTGCCCGGAGTTGCCCGGGAGTTGCCCGCCAGATGCCCGGTTTTCACTTTGTCTGGGGTGAGCGGCGCGCTGGTCCCGTCGGCTGCTCGGTCCCCCCTCCCCTCGCCTGCGCACAGTGGACGGAAATCGAAAACCGGGGGACAAAAATCAGTTTTTGCACTTGTCTAAAAACACCAATCAGTGAGACATACTAATAGATAACATCCTAAAGGACATATTTTTGCTTTGGTTTGCTTCGTAGAAGTATTTCCGTGCTCTACAGTAGTATCTAAAGTTGACCTCTCTGCCGGCCGGCGAAGTCCGCGTCATGAGACCATGTTGAAATTTACTTTTTCACAATGAAAATGGACTTGACTGGACAACCCGTCACCGAGGAGATGCAATTAAAGGTCAAAATATCTCTAAACAACCACAGTTTTGCCTGTTCAAAGTAGTATTTAAACTAAAAACATGTTTCCAAGTCAGCAAAACTCTGCGGCGTATCCGCCGGTTTATAAGAGATATTTAATGATCGCCAGCGTTCGCCGGGCAGAACTCGATAGAAATATGTTCTTTATTATATTCGTAATGAAGCCCTTTTTGATTTTTTTCCCGCAACGTTCCGCTTTACCTACACGGTTACTTCAAACTTCCAATACTGGCTATGATGCGACCTGCCTGATGGTTAGGTGCTCGAGGAACATAGTGACAGCAGTTTGGTTTCAGACAGTTTGACACGAAACTTGTGAGGCAATAAGTAAGGACGGTCAAAGTATTGTTTTAATTTTGGACCGAAATCAATCTTTGGAGACAAGTGACTAACAAGAGGATGGGTGTAAAGAATATTTTGAGGTTAGGTTGTCCTGTGCAGGGGGAAGGACGACGACTAAGTTGCACTACGCGGTGTCTCGTGCTGTTCGATCCATTTTTCATTTAAAAACCTTTCTTCTTCCATAAAACCTTTGTTTCCTTGACCACCAATCCGTAAAAAAATGTAAATTGGAATAATTTTTCAAAATAGCATTACTGTATCTTATGACACTATAACATTTTAGAGCGGAATGCAGGTCGTAAATAAATTCTACGTCCTTTAAAACGAGTCGTTACTAATTTTCACCGTCCTCCGCTAAGCGGTTGAATTTTGTCCCACTTTTTCTGATTTCCGTCCACTGTGCTGCGTGGTCCAGCCGGCCGGAGCTCGGTCACTTGGACGGCGGCGATCTACTAGAAATTGATTTTGAGTGAGTACTGAAATGGACAGCAGAGTACAACGTCTTGTCTGACTTGCTTTGTCTTGTCTTCTGATCAACATTTCTGTACTTTCCAGCCAGAATGTTATGATTGTGAAGGAATAGGGTAAGTACCTACACTCTGATATCTTTGAAAACCAAGAACTTTGTTTTAGAATCAGATATAAAACAATACAATATTATATATTTTCCAGGCCATACGATGCTATATATTCCTCACCTGCTGCTGCTGAAGAAATACCTGGAGACAATGATGAGTGAGTCCTTTTGTTGATCTTTTTGTTGACCTTTAAAATAACCCAATCCAATTTGTGCATTCAATCAAATTCTCAAAAAAGAAAACTTCCTTTGAAATAAAACAGAATGTGTTCTTTCAGACCACTTTGTCATTTAGTATAATAGATAACAAATTAGAACTTCAACACAACCTGTCAACAATGTTCACCTGTCAGGGAGAAAGGAAATATATTTTAATTTGTGCTAAACCAGAGACTTGTATTGTAGAGAGAGATATGTAAGAATTTTTGTTTCAGCAGGCCTTCATCATCATTATCTGCAGAAGAGCAGGAGCAGTGCGTAAATTCCAGTATTGCAATTTTAGTTTTCCCTTCCTCTACACTAAAGTAACTAATATAATTTCTTGTTTCACAGGCAAGAGTTAGGACCACTCACTAAAGAGTATGTACATTCTTCATACCTCTTCGTGAAATTATTTAACAGAACAGAACATTATTGACTACTTAATTTGCAGGCAAAAGATGAAGTTGGGAAAGCGACGAAGGCAGAAGGAGAGGAACAGGAGGCTGAAAGACGGTGAGTTCCTCTCCAGCAATGCTTGAATATCGAGACCAATTTTACTAGTAACTCTTGTTGTTACAGAAGGAAAGCTCATCAAGAAGGCCAGTGCCAAAAAGATTTCGGCCGACAAATTAAAGATAAAGGAGAAGAGGAGGCTAAAGAGAGCGGAGCAGCAAAAGACCTAGGTATAATTTTCACTTACAATTTAATTATTGATAAAAAGGCTATACTTCATAATTTTGACTTCTTCTATAATCTAGTGTCACCAATGTGCTGGTTGTTTTCAGTGGAGCACTGCTGCGTCCCTGGGCCTAAAATAGAAGAGTATTGAGTGTTGATCAGTCAGTTGGTTCCCTTTACCCTTTGTTACAATCTTTAAGCCTCATACACACCTTCATTGATGAAAGTTGTTCTGAACCTTAAAATTCATCTGAACCCTGGGCCAATTATGCCCTGGTTCTTTGCGGTCAAGTCACAGCTTTTACGTTGTAAACTGGGTACACATACACATTGGTCCACTTGGCAAGTCAGTAATTGCTCGGAAGATTGGCTTGTGGGACAATAACCTAACCTCTCTCCTTCAACAACAATACCTGTGTAAATAACAAACAAATGAGAATGAAACTGAGAATAAAACTGACAAAGTTGACCAGCAATTGGTTTTATTCCTCATTACGTCTTACACTGAAACATATTTAACTCAGTCATTGCGATCTTGATATTAGCCCCATACAAACGTAGGCTGTTGCCATGTCAGTCTGCTCTCCTGCAACTGTACTGCGCATAAGCAAAGGGGAGGAGGAGAGGGGAATTTGCTATAGTGCCTGTTTCCCCCGTTCTGCAAACGCGCGAAATGACGCGTGTTCAAACGACCTAGTTTCGATGACAGGGTCGCGAGAATCGACAACACACTACAACTCAGTTCTGATTAATTTAAGATAGTCTCTTTTGACACTACTTCTTTAATTTGTAGTGCTTCTGAAACTGATGATTACTAAAAGACAAAAATCTACAACATAGTGCAATGTTTAATTTCAAATCCCCTTTCCCCAGAGAAGTTATGTTCGCTCACTTTAGAAACTTAACATTTATTTTTGCAACCCATTTTTCTTTTTTGTTTAGTCACCTTATGGCATAAAATCTTCAATTCAATACGATACTGGAATATTGTTTAGAGCAATTATAACATTTAAACAGTATGGTTGCGGTCTGTACCACATATGAAATGACCACATGGGCAAATAATCATTATAACAATCAAACCCTTTCTTTCACCATTTTATTCTAGATAATTGAATCGAACCACAAAAGGCACAGGTACGAAGCCAATTGAACATTGGAGTTGTTGCCATTGTATGCTCACAGCATCTTCCTAGTCACAGAGCTCTCTGAAAGCAAAAGCAAAAAACAAAGTTAAATCACAGCAGAAGTTGTACTTGTACTTCAAGCGTTATTATTTAAAAGGAAAATTAGATATTCCCTTGAAAAGGAAATGGTGGTAGTGATGTTTGAGTGATAAGGGGAAGGGAAGGGAAGGGGGGAAGGGAAGGGAGAGGGGGCTCTCTCACGAACCGATGTAAACAGGAGGATGCCGACAGAACACTCACATTTGACAATGGCATCAATGGAGCCGGCTCGCGTCATCCCCCGCACCCCGTGCACGCCGCCTTCGCCGCCGCCTTCGCCGCCGCCTTCGCCGCCGCCTTCGCCGCCGCCTTCGCCGCCGCCTTCGCCGCCGCCTTCGCCGCCGCCTTCGCCGCCCGAGACACCACCACCGCCACCCCTAGTTCACCAGTGGGTGTTGCCAAGCCCTGGCCTGCGGACGCCGGGGCGCCCATTCAGTGATGGTAAATGTCGTATTTTCCTGTTATAACATTGGTAGAAGCTCATGAAATCTATATTAGAACCAGTTCCGTAGCTGAACGTCCCAGTGAAAAGTCATTTTGACCTCATATTGTCAAAAAGATTCTCTTTGATGTATTGACGTCACTTATTTGATCCTATCTTTTCACTGGGGACTGTCGGAAAGGCAAGGTGGACAAGGTCTAACAAACAATAATAGCACTAGATTCTTCACTGTTCATTACTGTTTGAAGCAAATGATACGTTTTGCTTCTCACATCATGACTAGGCTAATTGAGAGACAGTTGTTTCAGTTAAATGGTGGACAATGTAACATATTCCACAAAAAGGAATCATACTTTTGCAACTCTGTCCACATGGAGAAGTCTCCAGGGCAAAAAGTTACGAAACATGATTCTTTTTTGGGGAAGGCCATACAGCTTTACCTAGTTACTGCAAACTCTCAGCTCATAAAAAACAAAACAAATCTTGCTAACTTACAGTTGCACTGTTGTAATCCTTAAACTTTTCTTTCTCACAGATCCAGAAGTGTTCGCACTAGAAGAACAGCAGCATGCGGGAGCCTGCGAGTGGTGGGAGGCAATCAAGAGAGGTAGCGAAGAGAAGAAGGAGGAGGAGATCGAGCAATATTGGGAAGAGCCGATAGATTATAGCTTTGACTTGTTCTATAACAATGATGACAATCAGTAAAAAGTTCAACTGACATTCTATCTATGTACTGCTTTCTCACCTGTCCCACTCAGTTCAATGGTCACTTTTAAGTACATTTTAAGTTTTGCAAACCATTGATCTGAGGCATTCAAATTTTGACTGTATAGAATGATTCAGCATCACCTGTTCTTGGCATTACTCAGGAATTACACACTACTTGACAGTCATTAAAACAAACAAGAAGAATTGTTAATGGCGAAAACAACAATTGCACTCGCCGAGGTGACCAGCGAATGTTAGGCTATGGCTGGATTCTCGTCGGTTCGGTCCATTTCATTTGCGTATCTTTTCCGACCAAGGAAATAACTAACTGGAACTAGCCTGGACCGGACCGACAAGGATTCGTACATTGCCCTGGCCGCAAAGTCTTCTCTCGTAACTCACCAGAAAAGAAGAGGTTATAATTTGAATCGCTTCTCAATTTTGGCTGGAGTAAGACAGATTTCCGAGCATTTCCTGTGGAGTGACTTTTCTACCTCATATATCCTTAATCCTCATATTTCTGCAACACGCTCATAAAATTAAACGACAAGTTCATTGCTTTTTCATTTTATATTTTTATTGTTCATCTACCGTGTGAAAACAGATTAAAATTTAAACAAATTCTACGACAACCAAAACAAAAACAACAGGCGGGAGCCCTGAATGGAGACTAGACTTCCAGAATCTCGTTTCTCGCTTTTAGAACGCGGCACATGACGAGGCTACACGTTGAGAACGCTATGAAAACTTACCGTCCACAAAATGACTGGCAGAGAAAACATCATAAGCATCACAAACTTACTAAACAATCAGCAAATATGAAGTTCACTCTTCCGCAATTTCTCTTCGATTTGTTTGCTTCAAGTCATCAAGTTTCCTTTGCAGACCCCTCAAAACGATAGTAATACTGCACGAATTTACGCATTGTCCCCCTACGTATCGATTGCTAACTAGCTATATGTACGCCAGACCACGTCTCCCGTAACAGGCTTCGCGATATCTCACGAAACACTGTAACGCTGCGACGCGCCTGGCGCACATATAGCTAGGCCTGCGGCGCTGACACCCGAGACGGGTTAATATGAGTAAATGTACATTTTTTGGAAATAAAGTGTTTTTTCATGATTTAATAGACCATTTGGTCATTTTCACCTCATTTTTGTCAAGAAATGCTTCCGAGCACCCAAACGGTACAAGATAGAGCAAAACGGACGAAATTTTCGTCCGTAGACTTCTACCTTCACGAGTTACACAATAGGAGACCATAAAAAAATATTTGAAAATATATATATATTATTACCTGTGGTTTTTCATTGTTTTAAAAGTCAATTTTTGAGCTAGAGTGCTCATCTTCGAACTCGATCTGCCTTTTTATGATACAAAACGACCCTGAAATTCCAAGATCGCTCTCTCATTTCTTTCTCGAGTTATCGTGCAGACAGACAGACAGACAAACAGACAGACAAACAGAATGAAACTTTTCCGGTCACTGGAGTAATGGGCTTCGCTAATCGCTCAGCCAATAACAATACATCGAAACATCTGCTCTCCAGTTGCGCGGCAATGAACACTTGCGCTACGTAGTGGTTGCGGTCAGTTCAGCGCGGGAAGGTAAGTTTTTCAGAAGGTCAGTTGCTGTGCACCCCGTTGCGCTGGGTTTCAAGGTAACCCCTACGGCCGGGAAGCAGCGGAAGCATAAAGAGGGGAGGGGGAGGGGGTGGAGGTGTTCAGGTGTTCATGTGCGAGGCAAGCAGAAGCAGGAGCAGATCCGGCCAAGCGTATTTGCAGGGGAAGGCACAGCAAACCA